CTGTGCTTTATTTGCATCTGATTGCATGTATCTGAATTTGTGCATGGAGACTCTTAAAAGTTAACATTCAGGCAAGTACGTTTTCAGCATGGATTGCCCTTGGTCTTTAATTCTATTTCAGTTGTACATGGAATTGAAAAAATCCACATCCATCTACCCCTGTTATTCAGCATGGGGTCTCATAGGCATCCCAATAAAGCAGTTTTTAAAGCTTATTAAATATATTGCAGGAAGTCTGTTCTCAGCCATTTGTCTATTAAATGACTTGAGTTAGTAAAATTTCTGATGAACTGTAACTTTTAACCCAGGCCAATAGAGCTTGACTTTTCTGAATCAAAGACTCAGTTTGGGACTTTACAAATGAATTACCATCATCTACTTTATAAAAAAAACAAACAAAAAACAACAACAACAAAAAACTTTCTCTTCAGTGACCGTGTCATGTGGCCCAGTCTCTGTGCTGGAGGGCACAAATGCATAACAATTCTGAGGAAAAGGTTTCCCAGTGCAGCTTATGGGGTTACAAAGATGATGCATTCTTGGGTACCTGTAAATAGCTCAGAGCTTTTCAGATTGGTGTCCTCATGATGGTTTTGCTTTTTTTTATTTCCTTGCTGCTGTGACCCTCCCCAAACATCTTTGAAACCCAAAGCAGGAGTCACTAGTTCAGAGTCAAGGCTCTGAACCATCAAGGTACTTTCCAGCTGTTATCTGACTCTAGAGACTTGCAAAATCTAGTTTTCATATAAGCCTTACAGAAATTCTTTGAAAACAAACAGAGACAGGTGGAGAAAGAGCAATAGGCAGGACATTTGCATTGCCATTTTAAACTTATTCTTCTGGATATAGTAGGAATGACTGAAAACTGGGACAAAATAACCATTGGTTACCCAACAGCCTCGCACTAAGAAAACATAAGGCATTACCCTGCTGGATCAGACCTGTGATCCAGCTAGTGCATTATCTTGCCTCTGACACTGACCAATACTAGCTGCTTCAGAGGACGGTACAAGAAGCCCCACAGTAAGCAGCTGTGGGATAATCAGCTCCCAGGGAAAATTCCCTTCTAACCCCCAATAATTATGTCCTAAAGCAGCAGGATTGTTGTTCCTTCCTGCAGGCCTGTGACTTGAACAATACTAGGCTTACTCTCTATTTTACTGCTTACTGATGTACAAAGGTTGCCTGAAAGGTATGTGGGTTCCCACTCCAAACTTTTTCTTTTTTGCCAGTTTGTTTCCATTAGGAATTGTTGGCTGCCCTGGAAGACTGTATGGTGGGTGTAAAAACCTGTGAAAATATACCCTCACGAGATTCAAGAGACAAAGGCTGTGCAGTTAAGAAGGAAGAGATCTTTTTTTAGACTGTTTAAAACTTTGCAGGCCACCTGTAAGAATTGTTTTGTTACTTAGATTCTTGCCACAGATCCTTCATGTGGTGCAGCAGAGAGTTAGCCTTGGTAAACAATAACCCATTTGCAGTGTCTACATATCAATTCCACCTCCCTCTACCCAAAGGTTTATTGAATCACTGAAATCTTGGGGCTACCAGAGGTCACCTTGTCATAAAGGAGGTTTAGTACAGTTGAGAGCATCACTTGGCTGCGTGGTTTCAATAATGCGTATGACCAGAATATCCAATTCCTGCCTGTAAGATTATGGCAGGGGTATGTTACCCCGCCAGTCAATATTTGAGAACAAGGAACCTTGTGTGCTGCATTATAATGACAACTGAGTTGCCGTGCTTTATTGCTGTTCCAGAGGGAGTATGTAGTAAAATAACAAAAGCCTTTCTAATTTCCTGTTTGGTGGGGTTTTTAAAGGCTTTCCCTCCTCCCCCCCCTCCTTATCTCCCCCCCCCCCCCAACTGAATTTATTGCTGATGGTGACGGCAGCAGCACTGGTTAGCTTCCCTTCAACATGTCTCAACCCTGACCTATGTAGGAAGTCCCTATGTATGTCGGAGAGTTATTCATGGCCCATTCAGTCCTTGGCTTCTCAACATGGCTGCTGTTTGTAAGGTAGTTCCTCTAACATGGAAATCTTTTAGATAGTGACTAGACAGAGACTAGCAACTTGCTTCCTGTGGACCATTGCCTTCAGTCGGTGCTGATTAGAATGGATGATGTAAAGTTTCTGGATTTGTTAACCACTCAATCACCCAGCCCTTAGACCTTATACAGGATTGTGGTAGAACTGAGCAGCCTCTCCTGGTAGCTACTACAGTGAAGGAATGGTTTGGTATTGAAGTCTCTGCCTAACTCAGGGTAGGTTCTAATCTGACTACAATGGTGGGCAGGTTTTAAATTTAAAGGAATTATCTTTGTGATGTGTTCTAGTGGAAACCTGACTACTACAAAGAAATGCATGCTTTCTTTGGAGACCCGTCATCTAGCTGGGGATAATGCAACTGCTTGATTTATACAAGAAAGCATTCAAGAGAAATCTTGACTACTTCTGATTCTGTGCAGAGGATGTGAACTAGATGGTGTCACCCTTCAGGAGGATTTTGAATGCTGCTTTTAAATGGGTGACAGAGATGGTAGCTTGTCATGGCTTTCATTTTGAAGATGACAGCATCTGCCCACAAGTCTGATATGAGAGGAGGTGAGAGAAGTATGGGGAACCTTGCCTGCCAATCAGTTTCTCTTAGTCATTTTAGAAACACAGAATTCTGTTGAAAGGCTGCCAACTCTGTATGGAAATCAGATGGCCACTTGTGAAAACATTCCTTTTTTAAATGCAATTATTTTTAAAAGTAATTTTCCATTTATTGTTTCTACAAAGGGCAGTCCAAAGGAATGTTTATTTTGCATATTGTTCCCCCCAGTGCAGTAGCTATCTTCCTAAGGCGGGGCTTGAAAAATCCAGTTGGTATGCTGGGAACTTTTCCATGTCAAATGAAGAGCCCTAACAATTCCTGCAGAAACAAAGCTTTAATTGAGATGGGGGGAAAAGGGTTTGTAGCCATCGTGGTTGTGAAGAGAATCGTCCAAATATAAACCAAAACAGTGTGTTCTTCCTGAGTTTGCAAGCAGGCAACTCCAGGGCTTTTCCTGCTGCTGCTCAAGCTTTCCCCAGCGGCAATAGAGTGAAATTGAGACCACACTAGTCAGTTTCACTCTGCTTGGACAGTCAGGTCTCTGGCTGGGTAATCCTGTTGTTCTGTTCTCCCCAACCCCCCATTTTTTGGGTCTACCGGGTTTCTGGTATGTTTTTGAAACCCTGGTCCTAAGGGGTAAGTGGGTATTATGTTACTGAGCTCCTGTGGACGGATACACAGGTTGTTTTTTAAATGTGTACCTTTTTAGTATTTCCTAAATATACAGGAAGTAAAGTTGTCAATAAATCAATATACAGTAATGAATAATTACATCTACTCTGTTCAGTAAACAGTAGTCAATAAGCTGCAGTTGAGCTAAGAATTCATTATGGGAAAAATATCTGTCTGATTGCTAAAACAATATAATATTCTGTCAAGAATTTTCCTGTCCAGGGATTTCCAAACTGATCTGTGGGGAACTGGCTGGGCACATGGTGCTGGCTCTCCTTGTTTCCAGTTGCTTAATCTCCTAAAAAGACCCTACTTTTCCCTATATAAGCAATTGCTCTGTTGACACAGGGATGGATATCCAATCACCAGTGGAACTGAAGGTGGTCCGTGAGACACTCTCTTGTCTGTTCATCTTCCAGTCACCTAGAGGTGGTACTAAATCTCCTGTCGAGTGCTTTGCTATTCATTGGCACGAAATATATAACAGGGCCGTAAAATTCTCCCAGGGTCTGGTCAAATATTTCCTCCAAATCTTATGTTTTTAAACCAGCTGTATCTAATAAAACCAAATAATTAATCCCAGATTGTCCTAGTGCTCCAAACTTGATGATGGACATAAACCCTGCTTCCATATAGCATTCTGTAGCTATTTCTGCTCTAGAATGAAAAGTTCTGCTCAGGTGATATTTATGATATGCTGAAAATTTAAGAGTAATTTTATGCTGTGCATTAAGACACGGTCCTAAATCATTGGCAGATTAAATTCCAGTCCTTTTCCAGAGCAATTCAAATCTAAAGATTTATGTTTTTAAGAAATAAAGGAAACCTTGAATGATTTAAATATACATTGATAATTTCTTTTCCCCATAAATGGAAGCAGATGACTTGCTAAATGTTTAATTCTGGTTCTTTCAACTCATCCCTGATATTAGAAATCCAAAAACTAATCTTGGAGAAGTATTGATAAAAACATGCAAAGGCACGATCATATCAGAAGATGTTAATTCATTATCTATTATATCTCTCCCCACACGTGCTCCACAGTCTAACCTGAACTTGTAGCTGATAAATAAGAAATATTTTTTCAGTTTTGCGTTGCAACCAGTGCCATCTGTGCCTGGATTTTGTAGTAGTATCATGCCAGGGAAAACATTACTGCACCATAAGGCAATCCAGAAAATAGTCTTTTCTCATCCACTAGCAGCTGCTGCTTCCTTTCTTTTATCGCCATGAATTTGTACTGTGACTCTGTTACCTAAGACAACTGCTTTGCCATCCAATGTACAGGAGGACCTGGCTGCCCTGCGTGAGCCTCTGTGTGTATGGGGAGCCCAGATGGATATGGGGGCAGGACGCTGGGTAGCAGTTCATACACTTGTAATGTCATAAGACTAGAGACCAACCTTTGTGGAGCAATGTGGAGGGCCATAGTCTCTTCCAGCTTGCATAGCTGGCTCCTCTCTCTTTCTATCTTGAGTACATATATGGCCCCTGTTACTGTAGTATCTGAGCACCACGTAGTCGTTATCATATTTCTCCTCTTGCACCCCTGTGAGACAGGTCCTGGCTATTATCCCCATTGTACAGATGAGGAGCTGAGGCCCAGTGGCACACAGTGACTTTGTCTAAGGTCTTATGGGGAGTCTCTGGTGGAGCAGGGGTTTGAACCCAAGTCTCCCAAGTCCTAGGCTAGTGCCCTGCCCCGGCCTTTGTCCAGCCTTGCTTGTGGCACTCGTGGCGCAATGGTAGCGCATCTGACTCCAGATCAGAAGGTTGTGTGTTCAAATCACATCGGGGTCAGGCAAGTGACTGCCAAGATGAGCAGCCTCTTTACTTTCTCCATTACAAAATCTTAGTTCGTGTGTTGTATCTGGACTACACCACTGGCATAGTCTTCCTGCGGGTCTCCCTGCATGCGTTGCCTCCAGCTTGTACAGAGCTGCACTGCCAGTTCATTTCTCACCATAGTCTTGAGTCCTTCTATTATTATCCCCTTTGCTTATCTGCTAATGCATTCCCAGGTCAAGTTTTAAAATCTTGTTGGTCGTTGCAGCATGTCATCCTTCCACTCAGTTTTGGGAGTGAATGAATGGAGATCAGTGCCTCAGCCAGGCATTTGTTCTATCAAAGCAATGAACCGAGATTGATCTCCCATAATTCCCCTCTCCTGCTCTGCCAATCATATTACCTGCCTCCCAGCTGGCTTTCTCCCTTCCTGAAATCCCTTTATCCAGTTCCACACCAAGCTCCTCATCTTTCAAAGCTCTCAACGATTCTCACCCATCTCATCTGTTCTCATTTTGTCCAACTCTCGGTCCCATTGTGCTCCTCTGTATCCTCTCTCAATCGCTCCCTTCGATTCCTCTCCGGGCTGCCTTCTCGAACAGCCACTTGCTTCTTTTACATTAGGTTCCTGCTCCTTTTCTAGTTTTCCTCACATTGCTCCCTTTAGCTGTGGTGTCTCCACCCTTTGCCATATCTGGACTGTTGTCCTGGGCTGTGTGCCTTAGCCTTCTGATGGTAAACAGGACAGGGACCTTGGAATTGTGTGAATGTGTGAGACTGTTCATTTCCAAATTGCGGTCATTTGCCATGGAACAGTTGGTTCAGTTAACGCTTGTCATTGCTTCTGGTCAAAGTTCCACTTGCTGTTTGTCTGTAAAACTTGTGTCTTGCTCTGCAGAGCTAAAGCCTTCACTCCTGTGGTGAATGTAAGATCTATAGGAGTCCCAGCCTAGTGGAGTACTGAAGTGCTCCATTCTCCCTGGCCTGGATGAGGCTCTTTGGTCCTCTCCAAACCCACAGGCCACTAGATCCCAGAAGCTTATAGCTCTTGTAAACTCTGCAGGAGTCGAAGGTCTAGGCCCCAGGGGTTCTCTGGTCCTGCAGAAGTTAAAAAACCTAATTCCAGAAGCAATTAGGAGCCCCAAGTGAGTCCCAGCCAGGGACATTGCACCAACTAAACTTTCTATGGGTGTGTCTTTGCTGCAACAGCTGGCTGCATTTACTCTACTCATAGGCGCCGACTCTGTGGGTGCTCCGGGGCTGGAGCACCCACGGGGAAAAATTGGTGGGTGTGGAGCACCCACTGGCAGCTCCCCGACCCGCCCCAGCTCGCCTCAGCCTCTTCCCCTGAGTGGGCCACTGCGTTCTTCTTCTCCCCCCTCCCTCCCAGCACTTGCACTGCGAAACAGCTGTTTCGCGTGGCAAGTCTGGGAGGGAGGGGGGAGGAGGAGTAACGCAGCGTGCTTGGGGAAGAGGCGGAGCCAGGGCGGGGATTTGGGAGGGATCCAATAGGGATAGGGAAGGGGTGGAGTTGGGGTGGGGGTGGAGTCGGGGGGGGGCGAGCTCCCACTGGTGCCAACAAAAGTTGGCGCCTGTGACTCCACTTGAGCGTGCCTAGCTCGCATGAGAGCAATCACACTGCAAAGCAGCTGAGGAGTTGTAACTCAACCTGAGGCACCCCTTCTGCATTACTAGCTCCAACATCAGCAATAATAAAGCTCCAATCCCTCTTCCCATCTCCTCTGCAGTTCAGCTGAAAAGTCACACATGAGAAACTCTAGACAGATTGGTCTAGATTTGGTACATTTGGAGTGGGAGGGTCAGTCTGCCTTATAACCAAGGTTGTGTCTAGCTTTGACTGTGCAGACTTTCCATGATCCAGGTGTTGCTTAACTTGCCACATGTGGTTTGGTTACTGGCAGGAAACGGTTAAGGGCACATGTACATGACCATATGCCAAGTGCCAAGTTATGGGAGGAGGGAATGAACTGGCAGTAACTTCTGTGGAGGTTTTATGGAAACTCCGCCCTGCATTTCTCACTAAATAGATACGTCCCAATTCTTCTAGGGGTGAACACTCACTGATGCACTGAGTTGCTAATTAGGTAGCAAGATAAGGTTTTTGGAGGAGCTCCATCCACTCCAACCAGATCTTGGCATCGGGCTGCTGGAAGTGAGAGTATATAAATATTGCATTAAATGTCATGACTGTACTAAAGGAAGCTTTAAAAGCTTAAATCACAGTGTCCAAAATATATTGGAACTAAATAATTTATCTTGCTGACAAAGTGGTGTTAAAAGATTAACATTGCCTTTCGGATCCAGCCATCTGCTCCCTTAATGTTTTTTAAAAAATACCAAAAAAACAAAAAAGAAAATTCCTTGTGCTTCAGAGAGAGGTCAATCTGAGTGGTGAAAACTGCAGAGTGCCAGCTGGTGGAAATGGTGAAGACCCTGATCCTGAGGATTGATCTATGTGGGTGGACCCCTGCACCCACGCAGGAGCTCACGTAGGAGTGCAGGGGTCCCACCCAGGCAGATTTCACTGCAGGATTAGGGCAAAATCTGCCCTGAGAAAGTCTTTCTATAGGGTTTAGAGCAGCCATCTTAGTTCTCTGACTGACCACCTTATGGACAGATCCTCTTTTATAAACTTGGGTCTTTTACCTCTAGTCGCTATTTTGAATCCAGAACTCTTTCTATTCCTTGGTGGGACATGAGCCGCTGTTGGCAGCACCGTTGGCTTCTTGGCTCCTGAGACTGTCAGCAAGGTGGCCCATGGGCTGTAGATCCTGAACTCCTTCATGCTAGCCTGTGGAGCTGATCTTTTCCCATCTGTGGGAGGCAGGTTTGAGAGGAAAGCTTGCACAACCACTGTTTTATCTGTTCTGTGCCAAGTATTTTGCTTCTAATCATGTTGACCTGGCACTTTTGCCAGCTTCAAATTCATTTTAAGGAACAGCTATTCGCTGACCTCTCATGCTCTGGTTCAAAGTGAAATCAGTGGAAGGAGACTGGTGTAAAGCAGTGTAAGAAATGACCTGGGACTCTAGTGCAGTCTTCACTGGGATCATAGATGTGATCTTCATTGTAAGTAGGTGAGAATGGAAGAGGACTCAGAGTACGGTAGAGGTAGCTTGCATGTTGAGCACCCAAGTGGAGCCTCGGCTCTAACCTGCATCCCCAGCCAGGCCAGCTAGTGTGAGCCTATAGTATCTCCAAGCCTGGGTCAGAGGTTTTTCTGTGCAGGCGGTAGGGGGTGTTGGGCTAAAACCCACGGAAGAGCGCTGGTTAACTGTGCAGTGAAGACAGACCCTTTAAGACTTGTTCCTGCTTGGGCACTTGATTGGTTCATACCTTTCAGACTGCAGGTTCACACTGCGATACCCTTCCCACCTGAGTTTCTCTGTGCGCTGGGGTAGTTGGGGCGTGAAGCTCAACGGCAGGGAAATCGATTTCTTTGCTACTGGTGTTGGCTGAATGCTTTGGTCCTAAAAAGGCCCCACATCTGTGACTGAGGAAGAATAGCAGGAAAAGGAAAAATTGGCAAAAAGGGTTTATACACTTCTGCTTGCTCGAGGGCTTTTCTCTGAGTTGGAAATGCCTTTTTCTTCTGAGATAGGGCTGCTTAAAATCCGGGAAATACTGCCCCTTCCTCCACTCCCATACAGTCACCCAGGCAATTGTTCCCTTTCGGGGGGTGGGGGGGAGGGATAACTCAGTAGGGGGGAGGGATAGCTCAGTGGTTTGAGTATTGGCCTGCTAAACCCAGGGTTGTGAGTTCAATCCTTGAGGGGGCCATTTAGGGATCTGTGCAAAAATCTGTCAGGGATGATACTTGATCCTGCTGTGAAGGCAAGGGACTGGACTCCATGACCTTTCAAGGTCCCTTCCAGTTATGGAGTTATACCTATCTCATAGATAATAAATGGATGTCATTCACTGGAGATCTGGGCAGTGCTTCTGAGCATCTCTTGGTTCTCTTGCACTCCTAGGAGAGACTATGGAAGTTCCAGGAAGTGCAGCTGAGTGGGTGGAGGGTGGTAAGGTTCACAATGGCTGGAGCAGGCAGAGACAGAAACTCACCTGGCATGGCCCTGTGATTCTACCTCCAGCATTCATCACTTTGCAGGCATCTTAGCTTTTTTCCATCGGAAATAATAAATCTTATGTGGATGCTGTGTCCTGCTTTTTAAACATGGGCAAACAAGTGGTAGAACTTGCAATGCGGAAAGATGGGTTTTGATTTTTATTAATACATCTTTATTACATTTTTATAAAATAATTTTTGAATAGCCCTAGAATCTGCAAACCTTTTATGTAAGGAAATAAAATTTGAAACATGCTGGCCATTGTGATTTGCTTGTCAGGGAATCCAATATGGGCTACTGTAGGAACTAAACAGGGAGCAATAAGTTATGGAGAAAGGCACAAATGGTAGAACTGTCATGTCCTTTTCTGCCCTCACATCAGAAGCTTTATTATTCACTAATACAAGTATGGGACTGAATCAGGGAAAAGATGCATTAACAATACCCACCTCTCATCAGGTGCTTTTTATTAATAGATCTCAAAGGAGGTCAGTATTATTATTCCTATTTTATAGATGGGGACACTGAGGCACGGAGAGGTGGCTTGCCCAAGGTCATCCAGCAGGCCAGTGTTTGAGCTGGGAATAGAACCCAGCTCCCACGAGTCCCAGCCCAGTCAATGTAATTAGATTGAGGAGAATTTATTGCTCTTATTCCCTTTCTAGGGACAGAGCCCTAGATAACTTTTTACTGAAATAGCTACACTTAGTGTGAGTGCTGTTGTATCGTTATGCGGATGTAGCTTATTCCCCTTCCCATAGAGGAATTGCTGTCCTGCTACAAGCACCTTTATACTGGTACAACTGTGTCTGCGCTAGGGCAGTTGTAGTGCTTTAATTTTACTTAAAGCAGTACAACCTGTCTGTCTGCCTACAAGCCCTTAGATCTCATGTAGGAGAGGGAAGTTCCTCATAGCCTCTAGAA